CATTGCTCCAGTCATGGGAAGGCACCATGTCACTCAAGCACTGGACTGGGCAGCTTGGTCCCTACCAGCCCAGTCCCGGCATGAGCTCCCCTGCTGAAGGGCAAGAGGCTTCTTCCTCCTACATCGTGCTCAGCAAAGCTCTTGCTCCACAGCCTGAGTCCTGGTCCTGGCTCAGAGAGAGTCAGCATCTCCACTTCACTCCCTTTTCCCCACCCAAGGAACAGGAAGGAGCCAGGGGGAGCTGGAGCCCTCTAGAATTCTATGGCGGTTCTTGCACCCAGTGTCTTAGTACAGCCATCGCCCGTGGAGCCAACATCGCTCTATGCGCTCTACTTGCAAGGCCAAGTCACTGTAGCAGGGAGGTCTCATACGTGAGGAATCCAAAAGCCCCTCTCCTCCCATGGGGTGTTGTTTGAATGCTGGAGGAAAAGGGGGAGTTCTCCTTGCTAAGGCCCTGGCTAAATGCTGCAAGAGGCAAAGCGGCAGGCTAGCTCCCAGAACCCCCCCCTCCCCAGCAGACCAGGGAGACACGGAGCAGCTTTTCTCAGCAGACACCTCAGCTTGAGAATAAAGGACTGAGGGAAGTGAGGTGTGGGAGAATAAAACTGAGCTCTGGAGAAATGTTTGGCTAGAGTTTCCCCTACGATATGTACCAGTTCCGACTTACATACAAATTCAACTTAAGAACAAACCTACAGTCCCTATCTTGTACGTAACCTGGGGACTGCCTGTATTTATACGCCATGTCTCGCCTTACCCAGGCCTTTCGCGGGACAAGAGAGAAGCTGTATCTAAACAGGTGCTAGTTTGGCCCAGGTCTGAACTGCTGTAGCTGGGCCCTCAAACTTTTCCATTTTCCTTTCACACAGCAAACCTGAGTGCAAGCCCCCCCCCACACACACACACCCTGCCCCCATTAACACATTTTTTATATTTAACACTATTATAAATGCTAGCAGCGATGCAGGGTTTGGGGGTGGAGGCTGCTGGCTTGCAACCCCCCCGGTGTCCAGTTTGAGACCCCCTGGCTATGGAAGGGCAGTGTTCCTGCTACCAAGCGTGTGTCTGCTCTGCCGGTTCTTAGGGGCTCATCGTCGGCCCCCTTGCTTCAGCAGCCCAACTCCTGTTTCCTTTCCCCGGCTGTGCCGATCCGGGCTGCCGCTGCTTACGCAGTGATCTTCACGAGCGGGCGGTTGAGAGCAGGCATGTCAATGGAAGCGAAGAAGTGCCCGTCCATGTTATTCGTGCCCGCAATGTAATCAATGTCTGCAGCGTTAGCAAAGAGCTTCTCAGGCTGGTCTGGAAGGAAATCTCCGTCCACCACAGGAGTGAAGGCCAGGTAATGGACTAGAGGGTCTGCAGGAGGGAAGGAGACAGAAAACCCTCATGTAGCCGTGATAGGAGCCAAAAGCCCTCTTGCCTAGCATGGCCCACAGCTGCTTTGCACAGCGAGTTCTGGGTCCACCGCTGGGATGATAGCCTGGCTCCATTGACTTCAGTAGGAGCCTTGTCAGGCCCTTCAGAGGGGCCAGCATTTTACCTGTTACCTAGTGGAGGGGGGGTTATAGGTGTGCAACACTGGTATATAGATAGCTCTCTTGCCTTGCACCCCTTCTGGCTGCCCTGCATGAGGTGTATCCGGTGCAAGAGCCTTTTGCCAGACATCACAGCTACTGCATGATGGTGGCAGAGGGGGAGAACAGAAGACCTCAGAAGCAACCTGGCCTCAAAAAGTCTGTGAACCTGCCCAGCCAAGGCCGCAGAAGCGTGGAGTTCACACGTAAGCAAAAGCTCCTTCAGGCATCAGAACAGCCACACTGGGTCAGACCAACGGTCCATCTAGCCCAGTATCCTGTCAACTGACAGCAGGCAAAGCCAGATGCCCCAGGGGGAATGAACAGAACAGGGAATCACCAAATGATCCATCCTTTGTGGCCCATGCCCAGCCTCTGACAGAGACTCAGGGACATCATTCCTACCCGTCTTGGCTAATATCCAGTGATGGATCTATCCTCCATGAATTTATCTAGCTCTTTTTTGAACCCTGTTACAGTCCCGGCCTTTGCAATATCCTCTGGCGAGGAGTTCCACAGGTTGACTGTGCAGTGCGTGAAGAAATATGTCTCTTTGTTTGGTTTTAAACCTGTTCCAGCCATGTTCACCTGCTGCCAGAAGAGGCCTCGAGCAGTGGTGGACACAGCAGCTGAGAGTTCAGACAGGGGGCTTCCGTGCAAGCAGTAGGCCAGCTCCCCCCACCCACCCAGGAACAAGATCCTGAAGGGGGGCGAGGGAGGAATGTCCAGGCTCGGTCCTTATTCATAGACCACACGCGGTGGGGATGGACAGAGTGTATGGAGCAGACCTGGGCAAACTATGGCCCACAGGCCAGATCCAGCCCGCCAAGCCACCGGATCCAGCCCGCGGAGGCAGCCCACGGAGGCAGCAGGGAGCCCCAGGCAGGCTCCCCTGCTTGCCCTGCAACTCTGTGTGCCTGGCAGGGCTCCATTTCTGTTTTGAAACTGCAGGGGAGGGGAGAAGTTTTAGGAGCCACTCCGCCCCCCCAGCACATTCCCATTGGCCGGTTTCTGGCAG